ATAGTAACGACAGAAATTTCTGCTGAATTACAGAATTTGTTAAATTTTTAGTGATTTCTTGTAAAATTTGCTGAATAATATCAAACTTAAATGGTAACTGCGTAATTTACGGAATTTACTAAATCTACTGAATTTTTGAAAAAGTAACTAATTAAATAAAGAAAAATTTTAAAAAATGGCCATTTTCAAGTATCATTTTTCAAAAATGCTATATTTTCAAAACTTTTGAAAAAATACCATTTTTTCAAAAAAAAATTATTATATCATTTATGTTTGGGTTAACTATGTCGTATTAGGGTTTAGTTTTGAGGGTTTAAGGGGTCAAAATATTTTTTAGGAGTTATAATTTTAAGATTTAGGCTTTAAAAATCCATAATTAGTGGTATTTTTGCAAATGGATACCCCTAAGTGACATTCTTGCAAATGTACACACCAAAAGTGATATTTTGTAATTACCCCTTAAATAAATTAATAGATTGATAAACAAAATTTATATACATAATTTATGATATAATATTTTGCTATTGAAATTGAATTATTTTTTAGTAAACCTAATTTTTAAAATATTCGAATATTATTTTAGAATTATCAAGCACATTTAGTAAGATTTAGTCACACACTATATATATAAGAAAATTTGCAAAAATACCACTTTTTATGTGCACATTTGCAAAAATATCACTTAAGAGTGTTTATTTACAAAAATGACACTAATTGTAGATTTTTAAACCATATATCTTAAAATTTTAAACACTAAAAAATATTTTGACCCCTAAACCCTCCTAAACCCTCATAACTAAACCTAATTGAACATAATTAACTCAAACATAAATAATATAAAAAAAATAATTTTGAAAAAGTGGCAGTTTTGTAAAGATTCTAGAAGTATGACATTTTTGTAAAGTGGTATTTTTAAAAATTTCTCATATATATATTTAGGGGACAGTCGCAAAAGTGCCACTTTTGGTGGGTACATTTGCAAAAGTGCCACTATGGGTTATTTATTTGCAAAAATACCACT